AAGGGTGTCAAATTGAATTTCGGGCAAATAAATTTATTTTACGTTATTTGGCGGTCGGAAGTGCTCTAGCGCAATGACGATCGACTTCCTTTCCCGGCGACTGACTTTTCTTGTCTGGTAGGGGGATCTGGTGGCTAGGATTATGGTTTGGTGTGTAGAGAGGTATTTATATCCGTTTCCTTTAATCTAGGTTGTAACAAATCCGAAAATCCAAAAAGAAATATATAATATTTAAGTGCAGAAACGAAATAAAAGGTTAAAGTTTACATTCCTTACATAATAATTTAAAAGTACTAAACAAACATCATATAATGAATCCTTTTAAAGAAACACAAGAAATGAGAAAAGTAAAGAAAAATATAAAGTATCTAGCATCTATTCGCAATCTTCTTGCGAACCGGGCTCGGGAACCAAATCCTCTTGATCTGAAATGGTTAAATAAGGAGTGAGTTATACTAGCCCAATAAAGACATCACACTATATCACCGACACAGAAGTAAATGTTTGTAGAAAATCGAAAACAACCAATGGAGCACTAAATTTAAACTAATACATTTATTAAAAATAAAACCATTTACCATTTTACTTACCATTGGGAAATTTATGAAAACAAATTATAGAAGCAATAATATCAAACAGATCATAACTTCATGCACGATCAGCAACATAGAACATATCATAAATTTACATTTATTAACAAAAAACTAAATCATAACTATTTCTCGTTTCACCAGCCTATTAGTATCCATGGGGATCCATAGAGGTATCCCCGCTACACGTGAACTTTTTTCCTTAACAATCTTAATTACATAGCCGACTTCATACCCCGCTCGGTATGAGCACCAAGATATTAAATCTCAATACCCTGTCTGGTATGAGGGTGAAGCAGCCGCCCCCATACCTCGTCCGGTATGGGCGCCAAATAACCAAGTCTCCATACCCCATCCGGTATGAGACAACATTTACAGTAGGGTTCTCTATGAACTCGGTCTGTCTACCATCTCTCAGGATATCTAGTGTGGTTGTCGTCTTATATGTTTATTTGATCACACCTCTTTCCTATTTTTTCTTAGTTTTCGTTACCAAATCAAATATAATCACATAAACAGATAAGCATGTATCAGGTAATGCAATCATGTCTCAAATCTCAAAATCAAACAATGATCAAGTAAGACAGTAATACATGCATTTAAACCTTAAAATAGATAAAATAGATACCATCATACTTTTAGATCGTAAAATAAGTCAACAGAAATCAACAGAGAACGATATCCGATTCGCGCTCTCTTAGCAATCTGTAATTAATTATGCACATCTATTTAGTTTGTATAAAATACAATATTATTATTTATTCAAACTTCAATACCATTGTAGGAAATAGGACGAGGGATCCTTACTTAATTTGACACCGAAAAGCTAAATAGTTTACTGCGCCTACGGGTGGTCCCTGGTTTCCCTAAATTTTTCTTCGGGAACTGAAACGCACTTACGGTACCTACAAATATCCCAAATAAATCCAAAAATCAGTCTCATGGCCTACTCGGCCAATTTCAAAAATTTGGCACGGCGGCTCCGCCGTACTCTGACGATGGTGCCGCCGCTTGCGGCTGCGATCTACTTCGGGTTGGCTGTTTTCAGTCATTTTTGGCCGAATTCAGCTAAATTTACATCAGTTCTTGTGAGAAAACACACTTAAGGCCCTCAATTGGCCGAAAAAATGTAGAAAATCAAAACTCACCGGCAATGGGGATGCGGTGGCTCCTCCGGCTCACATTGCGGTTGGGTATTTTGCTCCGATCAACCTGTAGAGAAGGAAATGGTGATCACAACGGTGGAAAAATTACATTGAACGAGAATCAGGAAGGGCCTCATCGGAACTGATTTCTGAAATACTCCGCGTCAGCGCCGCTGGGCTTTGCCAACGTTTTCTGGCCAATCGACTGATCTTATTGCTCTGATTTGGTCATGGGTGTGTTTAAAATTAAATTTTGAGCAAAAAGTAAAATTTATACCTCGTTTGACGGTCGAAAATTGCTCCGGTGCGGTGGCGGGTGGCAACTGTTAGCTCCCCGGCTGCTGGATTGTCTTCTCCGGTGAGGGATTATGGCGGCTAGGGCTTGAGTTTAGGTGCAGATGGGGTTATTTATACCCATCTACTTTTGATCTGGACCGTCCATCGCTTTTGAGATCTGTATCGTCCAATCGTGATTAAATATGGAGTGAATTTGGACCGTTCATCGCGATTCAATTTGGGTCGTCCGTGCACGATTCAATCTAGACCGTCCATGCACGATTCAATCTGGACCATCCGTGCGCGCGGGAATGGACCTCAGCCATTCGATTGCGCGCACGTAGATCGCCCACGTGGCCTCCTGCATCAGCGCCTCTGCCACCTGGCGCGTGTTGGTTAGTCGGGGCTGCTGACCGGGCATCTGACATGGCATAATTTTTTCTAAATTATATTTTGCCCCCGATTTTCGATTTTTCTTTCAAAAATACTCTCAGAACTCAAATTTTCATCATTTTTTTTTCCAAAATTGTTTTCAATTTAATCCTTAACAAAATTTTACCTCTTTTTTCATTAAAATAAAATAAAATAAAATAAATAAATAAATAACTATATTTAAAAAAAATAAAAATAAAAATAAAAGTAAATGTTGGGTGTTACATGGGTCGTTCATCGCGTTTGATCTGGACCGTCCGATCGCATTTAAATAGGAGTGAATCTGGATCGTTCATCGCGATTTGATATAGGTCATCTGATCACGTTTAAATAGGAAGTGGATCTGGACCGTTCATCGCGTTTAATCACGACTGTCTGATCTCGTCTGAGGAGTGAATGGATCCGGATCGTCCGATCGCAGACATGTGGATCGCCAGCGTGACCTCCCACGTGGCACCGCGTCAGCATGCCTTGCCACGCGGCGTGCTCCGGCTCGTCGGGGCTGTTGACTGGACATCTTACGTGGTATATTTTTTAAAAATTATGTTCTGACCTTCAGTTTCCGATTTTTCTTTCAAAAATACTCCCAGAACCTAAATTTACACCACTTTCTCCTAAAATTATTTTTAATTTCATTCTCCACCTATTTTTTTCTTAATTTTACATTAAATAATAATTTATAAAATTAAAAATTAAATTTTATACATAAATTTTGAATATTACAAATTAATTTCAAGTATTACAATTCTGGTTAAGAGACATGGGGTATAATTCAGACTCCATACTCTATTAAACAGTCTTTAAAATACATTTTTAATTTTTTAGTTGACAGAATGGTAGAAAGAGTACATAATTGGAAGATAAAGCATTTAATCCCTTGCAAGAAAGGAAATAACGCATAAAGTTATTGCTCAAACAAACTTATTTACTTTATTAACATTTTATAACTTTTAGCTTCTATATGTGTAGAGATTGAAAAGATTATCTCAAATTTTTTGCAAGGACAGCATGAAGAGGAGAGACGTATATATTGGAAAGCTTGGTGCCAATTATTTTTGCCAAGAGCTAATGGAGGCTTAGGATTCTAGGACTTTTAATGCTTTAATCGTTCAATATTGATCAAACAACCTTAGAGACTTATATTAGATTTAAATATTATGGTCTTTAAATCATTGAAAACAAAAATATTTTGGCAATTATGATTTAGGGAAAAAAGTTTAGGGTGTTTACCTAATTATACTTGGTGAAGTATATTAGCAGAAAGAGAGTTATAAAAAATGACTTAAAAGGACAAATGAGTACTAACACCCAAGTAATCATTTATGGAGCTTTCTTGACTTAATTTTTTATCCTATTACGATACCAAATGCGATCCAAAGAAAGGATCCTATTTGAAATATTTCTATTATAAATAAAATACTACATCTTGTTGAAGTCTAAAACATTTTGAGTATTCTATTGAACCAATCATTACCATATGACAATCTCATATGGAGCCATGCTAAAGATATAAAATATACAATGAAAAATGAATACCATCAAGCATGGCATAAAAGTGCGACGAATTAATAAGTACCTCTTAGGGAATCGAAGTCACCTTTGGAGAAAAATATAGGGGGTGAAGATAGATCCTTAAATGAAACACATGATTTGGTATATATGCCATAAGATTTTGCCTATTAAAGGACGATTACTTACTTAAAGTGTCCAAGTTAGTCTTATATGTTGTATGAGAAGTGACAAGACTATTTATTATGTCTTTAGAAGATGTGCTAATATAAATATTATTCGACAGTATTGCCCATTGTGTGAGTTCGATCATAGAACAGTGAATTTTTATGAGTGACTTTTAAATGGTTTATCAAGTGAGATGACACAAACTAAAGGGTTCATGTTTATGTTATAAGGATTATGATCGGCTAGAAATAAATGATTATTTTAAAATATGTGGATGGGACCTCCTGACTTAACATCTCGCCTGGATACTTACTTTTATAAGTTAGAAAGCGGTAATGTAATAAAATGAATAAAAACGACGATAATGTTAATCAATACATATAATAAGAAAATCAGCTTACATGGTCTCCTCCACCACAATGTATGTACAAAATTGATATTGATGCTTCAATTCTTCCTGATGGGTCAATGAGATGGGATTATTTAAAAAGATTGAAATGCATGTGTTATTTTTATTGGTACATGTTGATTTACTCTTTAATCCTTTATGATGTTGATAACATTAATTTTGACTTGTTGCTTAAAGATATTTTGTACTTGATGCGCTATTTTATTTCTATTTTTTTATCCCCGATTCATACATGTGGTAATCGATGACATTTTTGCTAGGAAGGCTCATATAATAATACTTTATGGTAATTTGTATTCATATTAGATACCTACGAGGTTAGTTTTAATTCTCATGTTAGATATTTTGTCACTGCTAAATAATTGATGTATTGTTTAATTCTTCATAATAATAATAATAATGATTCATCATTTTAAAAGAATACTTAATAATATTTGAATTTTATATACATTCGAATACATGTCATACGAATAAATTATGTTTTAAATATTGATTACACATACACCATTACATCATTTATAATTAAATGAATAGGTATATTCGGCTACATCTGTATTCATAATCTAGGCAATTTGCTCAGCATACGTTTATAATCATCACATTGCCTATAATTATTTTTATATATTCATCACGTAACTACATAACATTACTGAAATATACACAATGACTTACTATAAAAGATTCATTAAAAACAACTTTTGAGATAGTTTTTTTTTTAAAAAAATCCAATAATAAAATATCAAACAATTCAACCCAATTTAATTAATTATATCACCAAAAATTTATGCTGTATATATATATATATATATATATATATATATATATACTCACACACGCACATACAACAATTCAATAATTTTTTTTACTAATGGGGGGATTTTGATTTCAAATTATTTATGGTGAAATATAAGAAATTAAGATATTTTACTCTTTGGATAAATATTATTTTAGATGTGCAAGAGAGAAATTGTTGGACCTGCCAAAGTCCATACCCTTACCAATCAATCTCAAGTATGTATGGCCTAGTAAATTAGGCTATTGGGCCCATTTGTTTGTTTGATGACCCAATTGAAAATTATTTGAGAGATGCTGTCTGTCTTCATTTTGAAGAAATATATATATATTTCTTATCACATGAAATGTAATGTTAAGCAAATTTTTTGTTATAATAAAAAAATTTTATATTAAAGTATTTGGTAATATATATTTTTCTAACTAAATTACAAATATCGAGAGATTTCTATATAATTTAAGAAAATTATAAAAATAAAAAAGGCCAAATTAGTCTTATACATATATATATATGTTATATGTAATCTATAAAAGTAAAATACACCAAAATAGACAATGATAATTAACTAGTATTCCCTTGATGGATAATCCTTAATGTTCTCGAGTAGTCATAATTAATTAAGCCATCTGATTATAATGCTTTTGCAAAAAGTGTTCATTTTTTCCAAATCTAACATATAACTTACACAAGACATATTTACTATTTTCAGAGAGTAAAATCCATATTTTCATCTGAATTTTTTACCATAAATAATTAATTATTACATCGTTGAAGTGAAATATTTTGCATATTTTCTCAAGATACTTATGTATAGATCTTTTATATATACATATATATGATCACTGGTTGAATGAAGCTAGGAAACTGATGGGACCTTTGCCAGTAATGGCTGCCTCAAGGGCAAAGATAAGGAAAGCCACCATAGCCAATCTGGAGTGCTTGATTTCAGCCAGTTGCAGAGACTCTAATTTCTCTGGGTCAGATGCCAAGCCAAGTGGGTCAAAGTAGCCGCCAGGGTAAAGTCTTTTTTCTGGGTCAAGCTCTGCATTTCTCTGGAACTCGATGTACCCGATTACTATCACCTCTATCCATATTAGGGTTGTCAGTGAGAATGGCAATGGAAGGCCAAGGTATGATGATCCCTCCACCAACTCCACCTATATATACATATATATATATATATATATATTTAAAATTATAGTTTTACCCATGTTAATTGTTTGATCAAATTGTAGTTTGTATGAACTTTCGAACAATGATAATAACTAAAATAAACAATTTTAGAAGGTATATAATTAGTTATTACTTGACCCATCTTCTCATATACATATATATGTATATGTATATATAAAAGCATTAATGGCATGAAATACCAGTATATATTCACGAATGTATGCATCACAAATTTTGCTTGGATAACAAGGAGACACGATGAGGAAAACTCTTTGTGATAAAACATATCAAATTATGATCATAAATATGTTAGCTACATTTGAGGATGTGTGCATATACAATGTACCCTTTTATGTATGTATACGTGCACACTATATACCTATGTATATATTCATTGGGTGCTTATATATATACTATATACGTACATATATTTTTAATAATTTTCTTGCATAAAAATACGTGGTGTTTTTTCCTTTATTAATACCCTTCTTGGCCATGATGAATATATTATTTATATATAAATAAATAAATCTATTTAAATGCAGGCCTTGTAACAGTAGATAAACAAGCTTCTTATATATGTATATATATATATAATATTAACT